GATTTTCACCACAGTTTGCACATTGTTTGCGTGTGCATTCAACTGGAGAATGGGGCGGCAAATTGCATCCTTCACAGGTGCTTGGATTAGAGCATCTGGTTTTGGTATGACCTAGGAGTTGGCAATTTCTGCAACGCATGGGGTTAGGGTAGTAGGGAGACACTTTTACTTTGTACCAAGCCACATCTAGTGATTTTTGGAAGGTGATACAAGTCAAAGTTTACAACGATTTTTCCTGTGGGGGTTGTTTTTCCGTCGAGTGTGCGGGTGAATTTGAAAATACTGGTCACTCCCTGACTTTTTAGCTCTTGGACAATTTCATCTTCTTTTACGAAGTTGAGACATGGGGCGTATATTATACCTTTCACCGTGTTAAGGTTGTCTTGCAGCTTGACTGTGATAGGGTAAATGTTTAGAAGAGATTTGGTTTTTAAAAATTGTTCAGCTACTTTAGAATTGCGTGCCAAAACCAGTAGTGAACCGTCTTTAAGCTGTTTAATGCTGTCTATTTGGGTAGATATCGCATCAATACCTTTTTTTATTACAAACGGGGAAAGTTTGATTAATTGTCCATTGGTTGAAGATATTGTTAGGTATTTTGGTTGGCTGGGTGTTGTTTGTTTTTTGTTGAAGTGTAGGGAATGTGTGTGTGTCGTATGTGTCCATTTCCCTTAGTATTGAAAAACGGTTTGTTGTTTTGTCCGGCGGATCAGGTGTTGGTGGCATTTTTGTGTAGGCACAAACGGTATTTTGATCGAACACTGAACTTGTTTATAAGTTATTGCTACGAAAGTGTAACAAGGAATATATTAAGCACTATGTTGAGAAGCACTATTGTTTTTAGCTTATTTTGTTTATTGAATTCGCACTGGCGATAGCACTAGTATACACGTCCGAGCACGTTAATAGCTAGTCGATGACTGATATATATATAATTTAATTAATTAATTAATTTAATGGTTTAGTACGTTGCCGATCTATTTCGAGGTATTGCGTCCAAAGGGGTGGCCCGATCCAAGGGTCTACACATTAGGGGTATTCTCTGAGTCTTGCAAAGCCCTTGCACGGTGCACGGATTGCACGGTTTGCAAAGTTGTCCCATACGAAAACCGGTTTTTACCGTGCAATATGTGCACCATGCAAGGCCTTTGCAAGACTCAGAGAATACCCCTATTATTTTAACACCCACTTATGTAATTTTTGGTTACCAATTTATTTACAAATTGGGTTAGAAATAGGCCCTTTTTTTAAAGCTCGGAAATTAGCGTACATTTATCACTCCTATTTTACTTAAAGCAGCCACTTCACCAATATATTTTTATATTCTCCTTCACTTTACACTTTACTCGATGAGTTATAACTTTTTTTATGACTTTAATATTAACCAATCAATCACAATTTATTAAATACTAACACCTAAATCATGCGTCTGACTTCGGTTGCATATGCAAATTAAATGGCGGAGTTCAGCTGTCAAACTCCAAAATATGCAAAAGAATGAGACAAAAGAAAATAGGATATAACCCAGTAAGCATTAAAAATGTACAAAGGTGTTCTCTGCAAAAGGTGTTCAGCTCCTTTTCTTCGCAAAACAGAAAGGAGAATTCTACTGCCTGAGGGTTATAAACCCTAAGTGTGGCCGAACGCCGCCTACGCAGGAAGGTGTTCTCTGCAAAAGGTGTTCAGCCCCCCTTCTTTGGCAACACAGAAAGGAGAGTTTTACTGCCTGAGGGTTGTAATCCCTAAGCGCGGCCGAAGGCCGCCTACGCAGTAAGGTGCTCTCTGCAAAAGGTGTTCAGCCCCCCTTCTTTGGCAAACACAGAAAGGAGAATTCTATTCCCTGACGGTTATAATCCCTAAGTGCGGCCGAAGGCCGCCTACGCAGAAAGGTGTTCTCTGCAAAAGGTGTTCAGCCCCCTTCTTTGGCAACACAGAAAGGAGAATTCTACTGCCTGAGGGTTATAATCCCTAAGTGCGGCCGAAGGCCGCCTACGCAGAAAGGAGTTCTCTGCGAAAGGTGTTCAGGCCCCCTTCTTTCGCCTGATAACCACCTTGGGATAACTTCTTTTATTTAAAAACCCCACAGATTCTGTTAGTTGGGTTATATTCCGCTTCAAACTGCTCAATTTCCCACGGTAAATCCTGCTTTTCGCCCATTTTTGAAAATTCAAGACCCTACCCCCTTATTTCCTCCCTTTTTATAAGAATTATTAAATATTGCTTATTTTTATAGATTTTTCAAAAATTATTTTAGGTCAGAAAGTACGGTTTTGTAGATTTATCAGTTTATGAATGACTAGTTTTCATTCAATTTTAAAGACCGAACATATTGTGAGAAGAGCACGTATAGGCTTTTAAAATAATGTATAATAATCTATTATCAGATTTTGATTGTCGGGTATTTTCATCGGGCAAATAAAAAAAAAAATGTTTCTTATTTTTTTAAGTTTTGACCATCACTTATTTCCACAGTTTCAAAATATGTAGTACTACCTAAAATTAAATCTATTTTCAAATAAAATGATACCTAATTTATTGCAATCGCATAAAAATTGTCGATGTTAGGCAACTTTTTTTAAATACGGCCTAGAATGTATATTGTGTATGTACCGGAACTTCAGATTATTTGAGCGGTGTGGCCAAGGAATCCATTAATATTTATTCAAAATTGATATATACAATCGCTCTTTAGCAAAAAGGTGGTTTTTCAAGAAGTTTTTAGAAAATGGGGGTGGCACCGCCGACTTATATGATATATGCGTATATCAAAAAATACACATTGTGCTTAGCCTTCTTCAGCACCGTCTTGAATGTTTTTGAAATTGGACAGATGGGCACTCTAACGTATGTACATATAACTTGTATGGGACCAACCGAAATTGAACGGTGTGCGTATGAAGCTAACTCAATTTCTAATTTTTATGTGTTGGTTCAATGACTTAAATTTAGTCGTAATGCGTAATTGTGTTCAAATTCTTCAAATGTATTGTTTTGGAAATGCGGTTTTATCCAAATAACGTCAGACAAAATGTATTATAAGTAAATGTATGTATATGAATTTTCTGGACTATACAAAATAACACAATCTCTTTTTTTTCAGTTCGAGAACTTAGTATGAGTGTAACCAGCAAAATTTCATTAGCTGAGAATGGGATGCGCCACAACAAAGTTGTCATATTGGATGCTGGTTCACAATATGGAAAGGTATATGATAATGTTACTAGAATCATTCCGTAAATATGTATACATTTACTTCAGGTGATAGACCGCAAAATACGGGAACTACTTGTGGAGTCGGAAATTTTACCGTTGAACACACCAGCTGTAAAATTGCGTACAAATGGTTATATAGGTATAATAATATCCGGTGGGCCGAATTCTGTGTACGCTGAAGATGCACCTAATTATGACCCCGACATTTTTAAAATAAAAATACCTGTACTTGGTATTTGCTATGGAATGCAACTTATAAATAAAGAATTCGGAGGCACTGTTCACAAAAAAGCTGTACGTGAAGATGGACAAGAAAATATTGAAATCGAACCTGGTTGCCCCTTATTCAAGTAAGACAATATATAAAAATTTATATAGACATTAATTTTGGCCCTATTTATCTTGTTTTAATTCTTTTCATTAGTAACATAACACATATAGTGAATTTTGTCGAGTAATAGAAAATTTCATACTTAAAATCGCAAATACGCCAAACGGTCGAATTTAGGGCGGTTTTGGGGGTCTCAGCATGATTTGCTTATAATTTCTACATATGCAAATTGATTTTTAACCACACGGTGCTACATTAAAAAGTCACGAAATACACCTGAAACAAAACAGTGTAGGTAGGGTCGAGTACAACATGAAAATCATTCCCACGACAGCCGGTTCTACGTACCGGAATGACTCGGGTCTTACCCGACCAAGGGCTGTTGTTTCGGCGATCTAACCCCGTCTAGATCGGCGATACCCACCAATCATTATTCGTCCATGGAGCAATACCTTGCAGCCGGATTGCTCCGCATCCTTCTTCTCCGGGCTTGCGTAGAGCCCAACCCCGGACCTGAAATTTACTTCTGCTGTGTTTGCCAGAATCGACTCCACCCGAACTCCACTTCGGTTAGGTGCAACTCCTGCAACGGATGGAGTCACCTAAGAACCTACTCTGGCCTTAGGTCTCACCGGGAGTGGACCACAAACTTTGTGGCTCCCTGTTGCTCAAGCCAAATGGCACAATCTGCCTCCACGGCTACCCACTCGCGTAATGCACGGGTGCGACCTAGCACCGGAAGAGCCTGCACGGCCCCCAGAAGCTCCCCTGAGCAACAGCAAACCTCCCAACACACCCCACCCACACAACCTACCGGCCGGTCCCACTCGCGAGCGCGAGCCAACCAGCAGCTACTGGTTGCCCACACCATCTGCTCCGTGTGCCAGAACAGAATATACCGGACTGTGACATCAGTCAAATGCAACACATGCCTTGGCTGGTGCCACTTCCGGCTATGTTCTGGTCTACGCACCACTCGCGAGTGGACTACCAACTACAGCGCCCCTTGCTGTAGTGCACCGCCGGCGCAGACAACAATGCCCACATCGCAGCCCCCTACCATCAGGCTGCAACAGCAACTGCGTCAGGCGCAACAGGCCCAAGGTAGGCCCCACACTTCCCTCACCCCCCGTATCGCGACCAGCCTCCCAAGGCATATGAACGTACTCCAACTCAACTGCAACGGACTCCAGAGCAAAATTGAGGAGATAGCAGTCTTCATGGGTCGGCACGGCATATTGATAGCTGCGGTCCAAGAAACGAAGTTGCACAGCAACTCAACTCTGTTGGGTTGCGCCGCCTACAATGTGCTCCGTAAAGATCGCGAGCGAGATAATGGTGGAGGACTAGCGTTCATTCTACACCACACAGTGCAGTATCGGCTAATCGAAGAAGACATCGACCCAAGGGACACTACCCTAGAATGTCAGGGCATAGCTGTCCGGTCAGGCGATGTCGAGCTCGAAATATTTAACGTGTACATACCCCCTGTCACCTGCTGCCCGGCTGGATATCTCCCTGACATAGGTGCGCTACTCAGAGGCGAAAACCGATTGGTAGTAGGTGACTTCAATGCGCACCACGATCTTTGGCACTCAAGCCTGGCCAATGATCGGAGGGGAAACAGTTTGGCTGAGCAGATAGACGATTCGACATTCTGCACCATGAACGACGACGCCCCCACCAGGATTGTGGGCAGCTGCAGCAGCTCGCCAGACCTAACAATTGCTAGCGCTGGTCTGATAAATAGCATATCATGGCGACCTATGCTAACGTTAGCATCAGACCATCTGCCCATAATCATCTCGATCAATAAGCCCACCGACTTTGCTCCCGCGGATCACCGAACCTACACCAACTTCAACAAAGCTGATTGGAACGGCTTCGCGGAAGTTACCGAGAGCAGCTTCGCCGCCCTCCCCACACCCACAGACGTACATGCTGGCGAACGCCAGTTCCGCAGGGTAGTCACAGCCGCAGCAGCCCGCTTCATACCGTCCGGACGTATCGCGGAAGTCCGCCCAAATTTCTCGGCTGAAGCAGCTGTACTAGCAAATGAGCGTGACCACCTACGCCAGGTCGACCCCGGGGACCCTCGCTTGAGGGAACATAATTTGGAGATTCGGCAACTGGTAAATCAACACAAGCGGACAAAGTGGGAAGAGCACTTGAAGGCCTGTAACTTCACCTCTGGTGTGAGTCAGCTCTGGTCAACCGTGAGGTCCTTGTCCAACCCGACGAAGCGTGATGACAGAGTGGAAATCTCATTCGAAGGTCACGCCTCATCGGACCCGAAGAAATGCGCGAACTATTTCAGTCGGGAATTCACACTGCATCCTTCGGTAGACAAGGCCAAACGTCGAGTGACCAGGAGGCTGCACAAACTGTCCAAAAACAATGCACCACTTGTTTTCACCAGCGGTGAAGTGAAGGGGGCCATCGGGAAGGCGAAAGCCTCCAAAGCCATTGGACCCGACGGAATCTGTATGCTGATGTTGAAACATTTGGGGTCTGTGGGGGTAGCATACCTCACGGAGGTCCTCAATTTGTCTATGACCACTCTCATCATTCCTGATGTGTGGAAATCAGGGAGAGTGGTCCCACTGCTGAAACCGGGGAAGCCCGCCAACAGAGGAGACTCTTATCGCCCGATAACGCTCCTTTCCCCGGTCGCGAAGACACTTGAGGCCCTGCTGCTCCCATACTTCACCTGCCACCTAACCCCAGCGAAACATCAGCATGGCTTCCGTAAAGTGCACAGCACAACAACAGCACTTAACGCCATAAACACCCAGATAACTCGTGGCCTAAATCGTAACCGCCCCTGTGAGAGAACTGTCCTAGTAGCGTTGGACTTGTCAAAGGCGTTTGACACCGTCTGCCATTCCACGCTGCTAGAAGACATTGAGGCCTCCTCTCTCCCACAGGGACTGAAGCGATGGTCGGCGAATTATATGAGTGGTCGACAATCATCAGTAATCTTCAGAGATCAAACCTCGAAACCAAGAAGAATAAAACAAGGGGTTCCACAAGGTGGTGTTCTCTCCCCC